CAAAGAGAAAATGAGAGAGATGATGATTCTGAGGCCACCCTATCCCAGCCATATTATTCACATATCGAGTCCCAACAGCAACAATGTAGGGATGAGCACGAAATACTGTAAATTAAATGCTGAATGACGGTTCATGTAAGGAAAGAACATATCAATATTCGCATATTCATTCAAAAACATGAAAATTCTTAATGGAGTACCCTCATTTTTTATTGAATTCCTAAAAAATAATATTTATAATGAATTTTAATAATTTTTTCGAAATTTTTTTAAGTTTTATTCTGACCGATTCACTCGATTCCCCATCCGGATCGCCGATTAGTCGATCCGGATCTGTTTTTTGGAAGCTCGATCCGGGTCACCGATCCTTTTTTTAAACCATTGGTTTCGAGAAATGCAGTTTTAATATTGAAAATCTTTGTGATAGTCTTGTTGGAATCAGGTGATCTACTACCTTGGTTCAAGAAACCAGGCAAGTCCATAGGAACCACACTGATTCCCAATTAAACAACGAACCGCGTTATCTAGACCAACTCCCAATCTAGATCGACGATTTCTACATAGGGTTTTAAAACGCAGGTGTAAATTGATCACCATGCACCAACAATGCACGTAAACCAACTCTCGAACCCAATTACTTAAAAATTTTTTTTCTTGTCCAAAAAAAACAAATACTTAAATTTTTGGTGTAGTAGTTTAGTAGTCACGTTTTCAAAGATGGTCGGTTTAGGTAAAGGGCGGACACGGTTTGGTTTAGGTAGGGCAGACACGATGAGGCCTAGACCGAGTTAGGGGCAAAATAGTAATTTCACCTCATAAGAAGCAGCTCATGCATGAGCTTTAAAAAAGGGCAAACCCTATCATCCAATCCGGTTTCGATGGGATCAATGCTGGAATATGATGATGATGATATGATGGAATGTTCATCATGTTATGTATGGCCATGCATGCCGAGGCGATGACCACTCCCTCTGGGATCAACGCTGTAATATGATGATGATGATATGTGGAATGGTCATCATGTTATGTATGGCCATGCATGCCGAGGCGATGACTACTCCCTCTACTTTTCTCCTTCTTCGTCTCTTGCCCTTTCCTTTTCCCCTTCTTCGATGCCTCTAATTCTCTTCTCTTTCTCTCTCTACATTTCTCCTCTCTCTCTCTCTCTCTACATTTCTCCTCCTCATGAAACCCTGGATCTTGACCTTGTGTCTATCAATCATCTGGTTATGAATCTCGATTTAGGGTTTCGATTTGTTTGCAAATATGGGCGTTGATTAGTCCTTGTTCGCGCTGTGTAGGAGTCGATTCTTGCTCTTTGAAGATACAGAGAGAGAGGGGAATTTGATATTTTTTTTCGTTAAATTTCTTGGGGTTTTTATCACCGTTTTTTTTTGTTGTATTTTTTTTGGCTGGGTTCAATTTTTGGTGGGCATTTTGAGGGGGTCCGAGATTGTGCAATGGAGCCTCGTGTTGGTAACAAGTTCAGGCTCGGTCGCAAGATTGGGAGCGGCTCGTTTGGGGAGATCTATCTCGGTATATATATTTCTCTCTCTAAATTTTGTTCTCTCTATCTAACCATATGTACCTACCTCTTGTTTTTGTCTTAATTGATTTTTATTGGTGTGAATACTTTCAAACTAGCTGTTTTTGTTACATTTGTTTGCAGGAACGAACATCCAGACCAACGAAGAGGTTGCGATAAAACTTGTGAGTTCATCCTTCCCTTCTCTTCTTTTTCAGATGTGAATTTATCTACCTAATTTTATGGATGAAAGGAAATTTTTTTTTTAATTTACTTTGATTCATATTTTTTATATTTACCTATATTTTGTTGTTAAAATATGTATAGTTCAGATTTTTGTCTTGTACCAAATTACATTCTCGTGAGAATCACACATAAAATCCTATAAGTAAACTCAGCGGTGGTTTTGGATTGTTTTAGGTTTTGTGACTCTTTGGATTTTGTAGATGTTTTAGGCAGGAATGTTGGTTCAAGTGAGTTAACCTTTACCTCAAAAAAGAAAATTGTTGGTTCAAGTCTGTAAACTTCTACTGATTTGGAATTAGACTTTGCAGCAAAAAATGAATCTTTTCTATTTCTTGGGAATTTAGCACATCAACAATATGTACACCTTATAGAAGAATGTTAGGGCATGTGTAGTTTACTTGATGCCTTTGATAGGGTTCTTCCTTCCTTTTTTGCCTCCCTTTTTTACCCATATCTGGAGTTCTTCCTTTTTGTGTTTTCCTTTTTCTTTCCTTATATTTGGGGTTGGTGATAGTTATTCTCTGCAAGTCATGTAACTGCATTCCATCTATTTAAATTCTAAAGTTTAACTGTGGTCAATCTACTTAAATTTTGAAGTGTACACGTCCATTAATTAGTTTAGAGTGCATACTTAACAAAAAGAATATTGAGATAGAGTGCGCAACTGGAGCTTTTGCAATCGCTGGATACTACAGTTGCAGTGTATAGTGGTCTAAGAGGTACTGTAGATACAGCATGATATGTATACTTAAAATGAGATTTATGATAGAAAGTGACCGTATTATTCCTTGACGATCATAATGAAGGTATTCATTGGTGTATTTTCCTATTCATATTGTTTCAATCGGATATGTTCATACAATCGGAAGTATTAATTCAATCACATAATGGTCCATGAGGCCCAAATAATTCATCTTTTTTTGGAGATGGGTTCATTAAAGACTTCAAACTTGGTGTTCGCATATGTTTTACCATAACAACAAAAGGTTAGGAATATTCAATGCTAATGAAAAAAAATGATGCAGAAAAATTAACTAAAATCATGTGCAGTGAAGCAATATGCATCCTCTTCTTCTTCTTTTGGCTAGATTAGGCTGCTTTGGAGGGACACCACCTCTTTGTATTACTATTATAAATAAATGAGCAATATTTTTGAGGACCAAGTTTTGCATGCAGAAAAATATGTATGCAACAAGAATTCTAGCTGCCTATCTCTCTTTTGAAGCAAGAGGCTACACTATTATATACTCCTAACCTCATTCTCACCACCTTGTGGTGGATGGATGTCACGTGCATCCGCATCCTCTTCTTCTTTACCACTTTGTCCTCCCACCCACCCTCTTCTTCTTTCTCCGCTGCCACTAACAAGATCGTTTCCATTCCAAGTCACTCTTTATTTTTACCAACAAGATTACACCCAAGTTCAGAACCAGTGCCCGCAACCAGTTTTCTGTATCGTGTTCCTCAATGCATTCTTTGAAGGATTAAATTGCACTCCATAGCCTCGAAATGGTAGAAAGTTTGATAAATTTTCAAAGTGGTGTTCCACATCGTTGGCAAGTTTTATTATACCTCAAGTAGTATCTTGACTGTGACCTAGAAACTCAACTCCGATTGCCATGTTAGAAACCCATGCCTTTTGTGGTTTATGCTGATGGCAGTGGATATAGTGGAGCACCCTGGATAGTGTGAAATGAACCTGTATATGATCATGGATTCAGACAAGCTTCTATCATCTTTAACCCTGCATTAAGTTATGGGCCATAGCAACCACCCAAAATCTCAATATACATTTACATAATTGTGCAGTACTTTTCCCATCTCTTCACTTATCACTCTTCATCTGCCAAATGGATGCTTTTTACTTTAATATTTCCTTCAACATTCGACCTCATTGGTAGTACCCATTAAACCATGTCCTTAATTCTTGGTTTTTATTTAGCCACTCTTTTATTTTCTCTCAAACTTTTCCTTTTCATTTTGATCTTTTGGGGCTCTGTCAAAATTTTTCTTCGGAGCTCACTTTCTTACGCAAAAACAGTAATTTGTGTCTCGCACTTGGATGCACCAAGGCTATCTCAAAAATTTGGCTGGAATTGACCAATGCCCATAGAATGACGGCATCCTGCAACTGTTGGACACGAACACCTTGCTGCTTTTTTTAGTTTCTAGATAAACTAATCAATATGTCCAGAATGCAATGTAATATTATTGCTGCAGCATGCATATTATGCGATAAGACCTGTGAGGTAATTATCGAAATAATGGTGTCTATAGGAGCCTGCTCATACTCCCATTCCTCTACTTCCACATTGTAGCTGCTCTGATCACACACTTTGAGCTCCTCTTAAGACAAAAGGCATGGCTTAAGTTAGTAGTACTCTTTATCTCTTCTGTTCCTGGGGAGTGACGTGCTTGTGAATCTTCATATTTCTTTTTTCTTGTGTGTGTGTGTGTGTCTGTGTTTTTTTTTTTTTAGACAGTTGCCTACTTCTACTTAAGAGTTGTTTTTGTCCCATTAGGGCAGTTTCTACTTTTGTTTCCCTGAAGAAATATTCTACTATTATTGGAACCTTTCCCCTACTACTACTGGGCAAGGATTCCAGACTTCATATGTTTCCATTAGGGTTGAGTTCAATCTAGCTAGTTTGCTGTCTTTTGTTATTCGATCTTTTTGTATTTCCTGCTTGACACTCTGTGCTTGTATTTGGCATACACTGGCTTCAATATGGAGGTTTTCTTTGTCTTGCTAATGCTGCAGTTTCAATCTGGTGCCGTGCCCCTGTATAAATTTCTATAGACAATACGTGGGAATACTGATAAATATTGTTTGTATTACCGACTTTACTCAGGAAAATGTCAAGACAAAGCATCCACAACTGTTATATGAATCAAAGTTGTACAGAATCCTACAAGGAGGAAGTAAAGATTCATTTGATATTTCTTCTTTTGGTTAATTGATCTTGCGAGTCATATATAATTTCATCTTTTTGACCATTTCATTGTTTTGCAATTCTGATAACTCTTTTTTGCAGCTGGAATTCCAAATGTTAGATGGTTTGGCGTTGAAGGAGATTATAATGTTCTTGTTATGGATTTGTTGGGGCCCAGTCTTGAAGACCTATTCAACTTCTGTAGTAGAAAACTTTCACTTAAGTCTGTGCTTATGCTTGCGGATCAGATGGTATGCTCTTACTTTGCATGTGCTTATGAAGCCATTTGATTTTTTAATTTTTCTGAATTTGTTTATCCCATGTTTGAACTAATGAACCTTCTCTCTTATTCAGATCAACCGAGTTGAATTTGTCCACTCTAAGTGTTTCTTGCATCGGGATATTAAGCCGGATAATTTTCTTATGGGCTTGGGAAGGCGAGCTAATCAGGTTTGCTTCTGAAGTTATTCCTGTGGTTACTGATTTGCATGTATGTCTTCATCTATGAATAGCTAACCTGGTAATAATAACATCTGCGCTGCACAGGTATACATAATTGACTTTGGACTTGCTAAGAAGTATCGAGATACTGCAACCCACCAGCATATACCTTATAGGTGAGTTGCTTTCTTTTTTTTTTCTTTATCGACATATTACACATATAAACCAAACCGATAATGAAAGATTGTTTCACTGATGCTCTGGTGTATCATTCATAGAGTTCTTTGCTTTTATCAACCATATAATGTTTAGTAAGCTGGCTGTTTACAGGCTAACTTGTCACTCACAAAAAGGCTGGCATGTTTATCTCTTGAGTAGTGACAGAAGCATTTTGCTGTATTAGTCCTTATTTGTTGAAGATTCTGGAAATGTTTATTGCAGTGTATGATTCATGAAAACTATGATCTCTGGGTGTTTTTGTGTTAGCCCTAATTTGTTAAAGATTCTGGAAATGTTTATTGCAGTGTATGAATCATAAAAACTATGATCTCTGGATGTGTTGTGTACAGAACTATAGTAACATTTTCTATATTTTTAGAAAATTGTTCAGTCATGTATGGGTTTGACCATTTCCTGGCCGTTGTAGTTCTGTACTGGTGAAATTGTTTTGCCTATTCAATCATTATTTTGTGAGGATTTTGGAAAGGGTCATTGTAGAACTTTCCTTGAGAGTGTGAATGCTCATGATGCCTGGTAATGCTTGGCAATAGCAACAGAACTGTTTTTCGGTGATTTTACATATATGTTTCTAGAATATTGATTTTGGATATGGCACCCATTTTAAGTGCTCCAGATATTGCCTCCTAAATAATTTCCATTTGGTAAATTAACACTTTCAAAAAAAAAAAATTTCATTTGGTCTGATGGTTGCAATGATGATGACTGGAATATGTTTTTATACATCTAAAAATCTAGGATTATTTTCCTTTTGGATAATCACAGGTAGATTCATAAGGCAAGTGCAAATTGTACCTGTAGTTCCAACTACAGCGAACATATACATCTACAAATGAATTGGACTCAGAAATAAGTAGAGAAACCTATTAAGGTTATCGTTCAAAATTTTCTTTGGCCAGCTGAATGGTTTTTTCAATTTGAAGATGCTATGGAATTTTACCTTTGGCATTTGACTGAGGTGGATGTCCTTCATACTCCATTGGAAAATGGCTTTTTGTTGAGCCTGACTAATGGAAAGAAACAATACACTTAGGCTGGTCGAAAGGCAACTACTTATGTGCTAGTTGTTCTTTTTTTTGGTGGGGGGGGGGGGGGTTGGGGAAGACAGTTGAGTCTCTATCCCTGAAAACTTCCATTGAATTTAACTTTAGTAAACCACCATATTTAACTTCAGGAAATCAAATGGTGGTGATGACCAGCAAATTGTGTCTTCAGATTCCTTGGATGTTCTCCGTATTAATGATTCAGTATGTCTTAGATTAGTTTGTCTTTTTCGATCATAATTTGATTACCTGATTTCAATTGGCCTGTTAAGCATCGTTGTACTTTCTTTTTTTAGGCATGTCTCAAAACTTAACCATCTAGTCCTTTCATCTTCATATTGCTATGGCATGACAAATTGGTTCTACAACTCATAGTGGGTTGAATGTAATTTTTTCTAGCTGATCTTGTGCTTGGAGTACAGTTCTTTTTTAGTTGTCAAATTTTGTATAACTCAGAGAATATAAGGTGTTATCATAGTTAAAACTGCTTAGTGAAAGCATTAATTTTGCAGTTATATTGGATGGCTTATGACTTCTGACTTTCTTTAAATTCTGTAGGGAAAACAAGAATTTGACAGGGACTGCTAGATATGCAAGCATGAATACCCATCTTGGAATTGGTATGCTACATGATTTTTTTGTGAAGTTGCATTCATGAACCTTCCATACTTGTTTATTGATGGCTGGGCCTTTCTCTTCTCAATTGATAGAGATATTGATGGAATGTATCTCTTTCATTGTATGTAAACTTAATGTCGATTGTGTTTCTTCTCAGAGCAAAGTCGGAGGGATGACTTAGAATCTCTTGGATATGTTCTTATGTATTTCTTGAGAGGAAGGTGAGAATTCCTTCTTACACCTTTTTTGATGGAGTTTCTTGGTTTTAATGGAATATGTTGTAATCTGACTTCTTGTGGGGTCCTTTTTAGCCTTCCTTGGCAGGGTCTCAAGGCGGGGACAAAGAAACAAAAATACGAGAAAATAAGTGAGAGAAAGGTTTCCACATCCATTGAGGTAATCTTTGACTCCAGAAACGTGGTTTCTGAGAATTTTAGTTGAGATATTTTGGGCTAATTATGTGCTCACGAGCTCTAATTTTTTCACCCAGGCCTTGTGCAGGGGCTATCCAACAGAATTCGCTTCATATTTTCACTATTGTCGTTCATTACGCTTTGATGACAAGCCAGATTATGCTTATTTGAAAAGAATTTTCCGTGATCTCTTTATTCGAGAAGGTCTGTATTCTTCTTCCCTTAGGAAGCAAGAAGTCATAAGAGGGAGGTGCAATATGGCATCAAAATGTTTTGAAATTCTTTGAGCGAAAGCAATTTGCATGTGAAATATCAGCATAAATCTATTTTATCTATTTGTTTTTCTCGGTGGCTTGCAGGTTTCCAATTCGATTATGTATTTGACTGGACCATTTTAAAGTATCAACAATCTCAAATTGCCAGTGTTCCTCAACGAGCTCCTGTAATGTAGATTTTTTTTTTTTTTTAATGTGGCTCTTGTAATGTAGCTTTTCTGATGTAGCCTTAAAACTTGAGTTAGTGTTTTTTATACATTTTGTTTCATTTGTGTTGCAATCTCTGAATATGGTTATGTTTTCAGGGCCCTGGTGCAGGCCCAAGTTCTGGTGCAGTGCCTGCTGGTGCAAATGCTGAAAGAACATTAGGTATGTATTCAGCATCCTTTCACATATTTCAAGATCGTTCTTTTCCTTAGACATTTATTATGGAGTGGGGTCTGATGTATTAAAGTAATAATGTAACTCTTGCATCTTTTGAAGGTATCTGCATTACTTGCATATGCCTCTCTAAAACAAATTCCATATACATGCTTGCTTTAGAAGTCTTATGCTGGATAGGTCCTTCCTGTTATGTATTTTTGTATTTGTTATTAGCTTTTAGGGAAGCAGTAAGGAGAATGCTCTTGAACTGAACAGATGATACCTGCTCTCTATTTTTCAACTAGGTGGTGAAGAGGGGCGCCCTTCGGGCTGGTCTACAATTGATCCCTCCCGCCGAAGAGTTTCAGGACCTGCTATAAATGCTGGGAGCTTATCAAAGCAGAAGAGTCCTGTGGCTAATGAGTCATCGACTTGGACAAAAGATGCTATGGTAAGTTCCCTCATCAGATGATCACCCTGTCTTTTCATACTTAGCTCTCTCATCAGATGATCGCCCTTTCATACTTAGCTGCTTCAGCTTCAGAGTTATTATTGCATTTCAGATGCATCTAATTTGACTTGCATTTTTAAGTACATCATTGCAACAGTCTTACCTCTGTATGGGCTGCATTTCCAAGGATTGTTTCTTGTTTATTTCCTTGCTGACTTATGCCTTTGTGGTAACATATTTGTCCTGCTGGTGGCTTTCTTTTGTTGCCTAGCTAGCAATCTTGGCTTGCCTGTTTGCTTCCATTCCATGGCTTCTTTACTGTTTCATGCTGTGGCATCTTCTGTCGATTGTATTTTAGATGAATGTCTGGATTATACTTTGGATGCTTAGCTGATATTTTTCTTGGTATTCATTGATTTGTAAGACTAAGTGTGCAAATTTCCTTTTGTTACAGGTAACATGTTTGTCATGTCTGAGTTTATGTTAAAATGTAAGAAACTGATGCGGGAGGCTTCTTGATCATACTTGTTTTAGCACTTCAAAACCTAAGAAGATATTCACGAAAAAATAATAATGCGGTTGTTATTTTACCTTTAATGTTAGTCTGATTTCTCTTTCCATGGGAGGTTCAAAGATGTGTTCAGTTCCACACCAGTTAGTGCAATATTTGGGATGATATTAGTGCTTAGAGTTATGCTGTGCTAGCAAGTTTGCAAAATGCGTATATGAGCTGCAATTTTGAACTGTGATTCATCCATCTTTTCCTGACTGTAAGTTCCAAAGTTGCAGATGTTGCAAACAAAGAGATTTGTTATATAGGGTTCCTCATATTTACCACATGATATGCTGAGTTGTACATGAAGACAGTCGAAAAGGAATAGAGGGACATGGATGGTCTTGGTTTGAGTCTTGCTCAGATATCCTGAGCTCATATAAATTGTGGCATCTTCCACAAGTGCTCCATAATTCTGGACTGTTTCACATTTAGCTCTAGGTGAGTAGCTATGACATGTTTTGTGCAACGTGGTTGAGTGACATGTATGTGCGCACTTTTGCTTTTTGGAAGTGAGTAGCCATGAGATGATTTGGTAAGCTTTAGCCCAAGGAAATATGTTTTAGTCTCAGCCAATTTCCCTTGGAAGAACTGTCCAACCTTGTGCTTTTAAGTTTTTACTAATCATCTTCCTGGTTTCAAGATCAGCATACCGTTCATAATCGTAACATGACATCTTCAATATGAATTCTATAGAAACTTAGTTTATATTGATAGTTCTGAGACATAGAAAACATTAGGGAAACAGTGGATTGGTGAGATGAAGGATGAATACAGTAGTACAAACAGATCCAATACCGGAGAAAGAGATGTGCCTTTCGTATCAGAAGTATTTTTAACCTAATTAGGGTTATTTATGAAATGGGGCTTAACTTTCAAAAAGTGAGTAGTGTCTCCTTACATTGGATAGAGTCCTTGAAATCTATAATTCGAGGGATCTTTTGAGGAAGACCGTATTGAAAGGAACCCAGCAGGAAAAATGAGATATAGATCTAGTCAATAGATCTGAAGTGTCTGCCCATATATGACCATTCTTGGACCTTGGTGCCCATGTTGTTACCGCTTATAACAATTGCCATTCACCTCAATTACCTCTTATGGTGTGTGGTAGTTTATCAGAACTCCTCAAAGGTGTTTGTGTGAGATTGAGCTCTTGACATCTCTATTCTTGGACAGGGATATGACTTTGAGATTCTGAGTATTTAGCATTGTTTCTTCCATTACTAGCTCAGAGAGATTCATCATTCATTTAAGATGTGAAGTCTGGTCGCGTAATGATGCTGTTACAAGCTCAAATTCTCAAAACAACATTGTAAGTTAATATATGATCCTTTGCTTGTTCCTTGTTACAGTAAGGCATTTAGGTGGTAGAATGGTGCCATTGTTTCTATCACATTCCGTGATCGTTGTGGCTGAAAAAGAATATTTAAATGGATTTACTTTCCTGAGTCATAGTCATTAGGTCATGGTTTGATGGATGTAGTCATGCATTAGATCTGTAGTAAAGAAATCATACATATCCTTTAGAAGTTAGGTTAAATTCTTGGCCTATGCGACATCTTTTGAGTTATGAATTGATGTTATGATTATTGTTTAGTTACGTGAGTTGGCATTATTGTTTAGTTACCTGAGTTGTCAACTCTCTTTTTGCTATGGCTTCAGCAATGCACCCCCACAATTCTCTCCTGATTAGAAAATTTTGGAATTGAAATGTATTATGGGTAGTTTCTTGGATAAGTCTATCATGGGTAGTTTTTGGCATCTAGATGCATATTTTCATATTACAGTTCACAGACAATTTTGAAGCAATTTTGCATAATTATAACTTGAAAATGTATATATGCTAGGGCCATATACAGTCAGATCAATACCATGGACGTCACAAAGAAGGTAAAGAAATGAAATGTCCATGTATAGCATGACTGCACGTAGAGAATTGTATAAATGATGAATCTGCACCATGCAATTGTGAGAAATAGTTTATGGTAAGAGAAATAGTTTACCGTACCTCCCTTTCCATATTGCAATCAATTTATTTTGGGGATCACTTAAGAATGTTGATTGCTTAGTGCTAGCTATTGACATATCAATTGATGTCTAAAAACTTCGTTACAACCCAGAACAGATGATTATCTTGCTAGTGCATCAATGTTTAATTTTAAGCATAATTAAGCCTTGAGATCTGTGATTTTCCATGTTCCCTGCTCTATGAGGTGCATGGGAGTAATGATTATGTTGCATCTAGTTGAATTTCTATCCAATCCCTTGGCAGAAATTGAATGGAGGGGAGAGTATTGCTCATTAAGAACTTTTTGCTAATCTCTGCATCCTTTTCACCATCACACTGAAAGTTTGGTCTTTACATCCCCTCTATAAAATTGTGATGGAAGCTTGTGAGCAGTAGAAGACATGACTTATGATTCCCTGTTGATAATGATCAATGTGCCCAATTCTCTGTAGTGGGGAAAGGGGATGCCATATGCATCGTGAAGGTCCCAATGAAACAGGACAAAGCATGACTCATGATACTATCACGGACGATCGCATTGTCATGTTTTTGGAAGATTAATGCTCCATAATTGTTGATATTGCAAGCCTTTGAATGCCACTATCATTGGAGGAATATCTGATCTTCAAACTCTGCCTGCTAAGGTCATTGTGGTCCTGCCTGCTTGTTCTTCTTAGAGAAATTTGCAGCATATCTGCAAATAAAGGTGTAAAAAACACCACCTCACCTTTATATTATCAACGTGCGGCCCCAAAACCTCTCACTAATCCTATATCCACCCCCATCTGCACCTTTTCAATCAATGTCCATTTTTGCTACTAACTATCTATTTTTTATCCCTAATTTTCCCCATTCCCCATGGTCCTCTCTCTCTCTCTCTCTCTCTCTCTCTCTCTCTCTCTTCTCTCTCTCTTC